GAGTGCTGCTCTCAGGAACAACCAGGCGCTCCAGTACATCCATATTATCAGGGCTTTCCGGGAGAACGGAGTCCAAAGAGGGCCTCTTCTTCACGGGTGTCTCGGGCACCCTGGTCCTGTCGTTCTGCACAGAGTCCTGAACAAACACCGGGGTCTTTTCCACGGACACCTCTTCCCACTCGTAATCCCCTTCCAGCGGGGCGTTGGCCTCGAAATTAAAGTTCCATCTCTGCTGGTCCCGTTCATAAATCTCCCGCAGCTTGTTTTTCGTCTCCGTTTCTAGTTCTTCGTGGTCCGCCGGTCCGAAGAGGTTGCGGCACACGGTTGTGCGCCTGTAGAGGGGGAAGGTCCTCCTGGCCACCAGCCTCTCCAGGGCGCTTATCGATAACTGGACGTTAGACATCTCCAAAATCTTTCCAAAAAAGCCCCAAACACAAAAGGCCCTATTTGGCTGTTGGATCTCTGGTGAGATAGTATCAGGTGTTGGTGGTGGTGTTATTGTTGTTGTCGTGCCGAAAATGTGCCTCTTTCTCCTCTCTTGTACGACTCTCTCCACCACGTAGTTCAGTTTAAATGTACCTTCTAGTAAGATGTTGGGTATATAACCTCAGAACAACTTCACTGTCAGAGCAGCCACCTCAGGAGACGTTCTCATTGGTTGCCTTAATAAGTCCAACCCTCTCCAAAAACACGCACAACCCCCACCCCCATTTGGCTGTGCGTCTTGCGGAGCGCAGCGTTTTGGTCTCACGGAGCGTCAACCCTTTCGATAACACTCTGCAGACTTTCCCAGTGTCAGACTGGTGATAGAGCTGCGTTTTCTGATCGGATTTGCGTGCATAACCAAGCAGCTGGTTGTGCGTCTATTATCGGACTTAATGTTCTTCCTCACAATGGCTGCTGTGTTCGATAATAGACTAACATTGATCGTTTTATGTTACACGAAAGCACCAAATGGTTGTTGAACCATTTTACAAATCTAATTCAGTATTTGTTTTCTCCAATATAATAATGAGAAACAACTTTATGAAAATATAACCTTGCTGGTTAAATTCTCTGTCCGATGTTTGACCCCTTAAAGTTTATCGATATAGTACACGCACCCTCGTATCTCAATACTCCCTTTTTTTCTCTCACCACAATAACATTGTGAGCTCCTCGGGTCATACAGCGTCTTCACTGAGCCGTGTGCACTGAGAGCTGCTTTGGTTTTACGCACGTGAGCAAAGTAAACAACAATAAAGAGCCAAGGCAAGGTCACAGATACAAAAAAGTGTTGAGCTCAGCTGAGCAGCTTTAAACTATTTAACAAAAGCTGTAATCATGTCAAGTAGTAAATTACAACTGCAAGACATGGCATATTACACTAAATTAACACAGGTATTCAGTTTCAGTGGAAAAGTAAGGGTATCCACAAAGTTATAAATCACTGCAGCCATGACACAATCAGGCTGTCACCTCTAATGTGTGTGCACGCGATAGGATAATTACTGGTTAGATATGGTGGAATAGATTATTGGTCATGCATGCATCATTACTCAGTATCTACATTACGTTAATTGAGGGTTAAAATATAACTGTCCTTACATCAGAACAATGCCATTAATAACTTTGAGTGCATAATGTCTGCAGTCTGTTGTACTCAGAACTCAGTCAGTCAGGACAGACAGGCAACGCCTTGGGAGTGAATAAAAGGTACACAGTGACCCTCAGTGGTTCAAATGTGGTACTGCACCATGAGCTTGTTCAAAGATAGATAGATAATTATCCATCCCAAAATGGTAACATTATTTGTCACAGCAGCAGTATTGTCAAACATTACACATGAGTTAAACATACAGGCTAGAATAAGATACAAATATAATACAAATATAAAGTTAACATTAACAGCAAATTATATGCAAGTTCACAGACGAAAATACATATATCATAGAGTATCACAATAATACACAAAACAAAACAAGTGTGCAAAGTTAATAATTCAAAGGCAGCAATTTATATGCTACAACCCCCCATATCAAAGCACACTATTTGTATAAGTCAAGAGTAGCAGATAATTTAATATTTGTATATTAATACATTTTCTGTCTATTATGGTGCGTTTTTTGAGGAGCCTGGGGTTTTCCTTTTCTAGCTATAGCTATTGTGCATTAAACAATAAGGCCTCTAAATCTTTAAATGGTTACTGTAGAAATGTTTGTTTTGTATATTCAAATGGAAATATATTGATCATGATGTAAAAATGATTGCTGCTCTATAAACGCTGTGGCTGTTGTGGGGTTTCAACCTGTGACTCATTGTTTACAGGGCATTATCATGATGTCACATGAGAGTCAGGTTGCTGTGGCACATTTGACATGTGACAGTTGCTAAAGAGTCACATGACTTTAAGCGAGAGATCCCCTGCCAAAATACAGGAATGAACTTGTTACATGTAAGGTAAGATCTCAGGATGTGTTTTTGTTACATTTGCCAAGTAGGACTGATTTAGGTACGAAAGCTTTTATGTGCGCAGCTCCTCTAGCTTGAACTGAAACTGAGCATCTTGGTTCTGCTGCATCATTTTAAAGCACGGTTAGATGCAATGCAATATGATAATCTTGGTACCTGTCAATGTCGATAGGTTTGTACATTGTAACCCTGTAATTATGTTGTATGGTGTCCTTTTTGTTTTCTGTTGTTTTTCTGTTTTCATGTGTAACCAACTTTGCAGGTCTCCCTTGAAAGAGTTTGTTTGATCTCAATGGGATTTTATCCGGTTAAATAAAGGCTACAAACAAACAAAGAAGGTCAGGTGCTCTCATAATGTTGCTTAATCCCTCAGGTTGGTCATGTGATTCAGATATCAGTGATGATAGAAATTAATGTACAGAAGCATATCAATAAGCAGCACCCAGACACACACACACACAATATCTCTTTAAAGTAATTAATAATGAATAATAAAACACAATCTGCATCAAAAAATATTGGTGAGTACAAGACCTTAACAAGCTATTAGCGTTGTATGACTTTTGGACGAACACTGCTATACACCTCATTTTGTCTTTCAAATGCATTTAAAGTATTTTTCTTTGCTTTTCGTGGTTCTTTAAATCACAAAAATATATGATTAAAATATGTGATCTCTTAAATTGAGCTCTGATTAATGCCACACATAGCTATGATCTCTGCCATCATTTTCACCTTCATCATGATCATCTCTCGGTGATCAAGGCAGTCAGACATCTCTATGGGTTGTGTGTTGGCTCCCTCTGGTGGTAAAACTCTGACATGGCCTTTTCAATGGTCTTTTTAAGTATTATACTGTGTGTATGCATAGAAAGCAAATTGTACCTCATACATTATTAAATAAAGTAACCACTTTAATCTTATTTCCTTGTAATCAATGAAGTAGATCACAGGCCATGAGGATCAGCAGAATCTGTAGTGTTGTTTTGACATTCAACTATTCTTGTACAGAAAACCATCTTACTTACCTGTCTCATCTCATTACTCAGTTTCACACTAGTCACTGATTAGCTTTGACAAGAGAACGATGAATTGCTCCTAAAGCCTGCTCTCTGACAGAGGCCATGAGCATGCAAAGAGAAAGGATAATCTCAGCTTTTTTTGGAGCAGCAGGTCAGTCAACTAAAGTGATGTCCTCTGACCTGATTACCTCTGACACATGCAGCCGTTTGATTATTTCATCTTTAAACCCACACACACACACACACACACACACACACACACACACACACACACACACACACACACACACACACACACACACACACACACACACACAACTTGCTCTTTGACAGAAGTGGACACAGTGGACATTTTTATATGCGATGTAAAAGTGAATACAAATTGAACTTTGGCAGTAAAACAAATACACAGTATAAAAGGTTTGACATTAAAAATACATTGTTTAATCTTGTATTGCAGTATATATGATACAATTGAACTTACTTATGAACCTTTTCTTAAATAGATAGTAACAAGACCTTTTTGAAACTCTGACCCCCTCGGAGACCAATACCTTGAACAAACTCCTCCCTTTGATGTGACAGGGGGGCTGCAGGCATCCCCGCAGGCCCCTTCAGAAGCAGGATGAATGGTAATTTGATCCCCAAACCGTATGCTAAACCCATAAAGCAGTTTTGTTCTGCGTGCTGCCTTTCAATTGAAGTTGGCCATCGTTTGTCACACCCCACTACAGTGACTTCCCGGATGAGTTAGCCACTGTTTCCTACCCAATGATCCACTCCATCGAAATGATGCGTTTATCTGTAATCTCATCAGACCCTTTGAAAAACCTTTAACAGCAGTCAGCCCATACACGTGATTATTTCATTAGATATTCCTGTTGCATTTAGTGGTGCAGAGAGAAAACACAGACTGAAAACTGATTGATTTACATTTTAAGCTCATTTATTTAACACAAAACCTGATGTTGACATTTCGGTACCACTTTACAATAAGACTACCCTTATAAAGGGTTTACGAATAGTTTGTTACGTTGTGAACACTTTCTAAATAATTGATAAGCTTTTATAACACATGAGATAAACAGGGCGACTGTGACCGGTTGCTTGCCAAATAGTGGGCTCACTATTTGGCAAGCAACCGGTCACAGTCGCCCTGTTTATCTCATGTGTTATAAAAGCTTATCAATTATTTAGAAAGTGTTCACAACGTAACAAACTATTNTTGTATTAAAATGGTCTCCGGTGCGTTTTACACGGTAGCCCATAATCCCTAGCAGCGTCCCTTTTGGTTGGTACGTTACACACACACATATATATATATGTATATATTAGACAGACATCTCCTCACAGGAAGCTTACCGCGCCACCATCGGACAGACATGTGGCCATGCATAGGGTCCATGCAGCCTCTGTCACGGGAGGCTGAGGGTGCCGCCTAAAAGCGTGCCGAGTTATTGGATACGTGTTGTTGCTAGGGGCGTGGGCTGTGCCGTGAAATATTCTAGTTTTCCTAAACCTGGACGGGATTAAATACAGGAAGACAGCAGTCATATAAACTGCACGACAGATGAGCAGATTTATTTGACCTGAGGGAAACTATGCCGCAGTGAGACATCTCTGATAATCGCTTCTATCAAGCACTCCCCGGGACTGTAAGGAGAGTAAGGAGGATAGTTAAAGGAGCGACGGAAAGAAGCTGAGGTCGCACTTCTCGGAACTCATTTTCACCCTGAACACCATGCTATTCATTTGCATCAAACGCTGGATGACTGTTTACAGGGGATGACAGCTGCGCTCTTGGTCTTCCCGTGATGTGACTTTGCAGGGATTAGTGAGCGAAACAGCCTAAACATCCTCTGTTCACACAGGCCAGCGGTTTGTCTGCGGAACAAATCACATTATATAGTTTGCGCTGGAGCAGACCTTATGCAATGTGGAGGGAACTGTGTTCGTGAGCTCATATATGTTGACCTGGTAATCACATTAGGTTTAACTTGAATAGCTCCGTGCTGTATTGCAGCAAGGTGGACCGGGGCGTGAGGTGGCAATGCGCGCATCCTCCGAGCTGGACATTTTGTGGGGGTGTTATGTTTCCTAAACACATTTGAAGCATAAGGCCATACATCCATCCTGAGCTGGCGAACTGCGTCACTGCATGCGAGTGTTGCAGGTAGGCAGTAAACTCTCTCACCGCCGGGAGAGGAGCATCATCCTCTCTGCACTATGTCTACGATAAGCGCTTAACAGAGCAGCAGGGATGGATTCGGCGGATCATTCCAGTAACGATCCGCCACTGGGATCCACATTTTCCTCAGCACCCAATTTAGATTCGGACATTAATGCAAACGGCAGTAGGGCTATATATCAGAATGGGACGGACCACAATGTCAACAACATCCAAATGGCAGCCCTGCGAGGAGCCAGTGACCCCAGCGCATACCCCTCCACAGACTATCGCGCGCTGGTCCGCCAGAGGTTCATCCGGCGGAGTTTGTGGTTGTCAGACTCCGAGGAGCAGCAGCCGGTGGACACGCCGGAGCCTGTCAACAGCAGCCCGGTGCTGAACATTGACCTGAGGACCATCGTTGATAGGACTCGAACCCGGGTTCTGCAAGGAACCCACCTGGGCCTCCAGGAGACGTCCAGCACGGAGAGCCAGGTGGGGAAGAAGGACAACCCCTCAGAGAGTGCAGATGAGGAGAAGAGACACCGGAGCGAAGCCGAGCCAAAGGTAGAGGTGGCGCCTTCGGACGTTTCAGGTAAAGCCGGAAGTGACGAGAACGAAGAGGAGCCAGGGATGAAGGCTGTGTCCACTTCACCTGGAGGGCGCTTTCTCAAGTTTGACATTGAGCTGGGGAGAGGGTCCTTCAAGACTGTCTATAAAGGTCTTGACACCGACACCTGGGTCGAAGTGGCATGGTGTGAACTCCAGGTGGGTTCATTCATCATTCAAGGCCAACATTAGCCACTGATATAGCACTTCGGGATTTGTCTTCAAATATGAAGTGCGTTACAAATGAAACCCATTATTATTATTATTATTATTATTATTATTATATGATTATTATATGATTATTATCTCTAACAGCACTGTGGGTAGTGGTTTGTTAAAAAACAACAATGAGCCCAAAAAGTCAGTTTGCAGCCAAAGGTAACCCAATATGTTTCTCTCAAGAAAACAAAGGACTAGTTTAATGATGCTGCTACTTAATTAATTATAGTATTTTACAAACTCTCCGTCAGGAATCTCTCAGGTAGTATACCAGTAAAGCGTCATATTCACCTTGCATGACAAAGTGACACTAACTTCTCACAGATGCCTCAAAACCCACCCTAGAGTGAATGTGAATAGTCAGATTATCTGTCTATTTATTTGTATTTCTTGGCTTTTATTGTCATAACTAGGGTCAACCATTTAAAGAGCAGGTTGAAATTGATGAATTAGTCTGCAGTTAGTTGTGTTTTTATTTTTCATTGATTTAAAGAATTGTATCAACAGAATAGTTCTGTTCTATTGTTTTTTATACTCTGATATTGCTGAGGTACTATATGCTTTACAGCACCAGATGAATTACTGCGCTTGGTTCCTATGGGGGAACTGAGAAAAGGCATTATTCAGAGTAATGTTACAGGGCACAGTGAGGAGGAGGTGAGTGACTGTCAGTCATGTTCTCTTTGTCAGCACTCACTTTGCTCCAGCCTTTCCTCTCATAATTCCCACCCTTAATGTTTCTTTATCATGTACTTTTGTGTTTATCAAAGACATTACGAGACTTTAATATTCTAATTGTCAGCTGTATACTTCCTTGAGATATAACTAAATTAAATCAAAGTATTTCAGCATTCACACCTTAACAGTGTTTAGCCCATTCACAGTGTTGCCAGGTAATCTTTTGACACTTGAATTAGTCATCATTTTAGCATGGAGCTAATACAAACATTATAGCAGTGACAGCTTACTGTATCACTAACTAATGTATCAACTTTTAGGATTTATATTTTCTAATCTTTTACAGCCTGCATAGAGCAAATTACTACCAGGGAAACGACCCTGGCATTTGGTTCAGCCACTGTCAATAGTACACATCTTCTATTAGTTGATATAATGGACAGTTGTCTAAGACTGAGTCATGCTAAAGCACTACAGTACTTTAAATATTGTGTTTACCAAAGATGTGCTCATGAGTTTCTTGGAAATAAGTCAATAAAACATCATTACAGTGTCTCCCATCAAATATTTTTTCAATCAGACTTCGATTAGATGCGTTGTTTGAGTCAATGCGCTAGCTACCTGTGTATTGGAGCTCAACATACATTTGTGAACTTTAGTCTATCTTAAAGTGACCATAATGAGGATACTGGTTGTGACTTTCAGACGCAGCCCTGCAGCAGTATTTTATAGGTTTGGTGCGGCTTGATAACGACCAGAGCAGATGCTTTTTTTTTGTCTTCCTACTGTTGCAGAACTCAGGTTCACCCCATCAGGCCCGGGGGAATAAGTAATCACAGCACAACTCAATAAGGTTTAGACATAGAATGAAATCACTATTACGTTGTGCTTATCTCACAGCTTTTTGTTGGCAACAACACAGCTCCAGATTCAAGTGAGGCTACGCGAAGTTCACCATTTTTTTTATGCACATGTATATTATACATATAACGAGCATTATTTGCATGGGCAACTTCAATCAACCCTTGTTGGAATAAAGGAAATGTGTTCCTAAATTATTGGGCAAAAGGTGATGAATTGTCCCGACTTCAACCCACATTTTAGCCTGGTTCCTCTCAGCTTTGAGTACGTTTAGTATCCAAGTCTTCACGGGTAAGGCTCTAATGTTTTTTTAGAGTAACTATTTGCGTCTGAGCAGGTTCTGATGAGATTTAGTGATGATTCAACCATTCTGTCCCTAGAGATAAGGCCTTGCCCTGCAGAGCTTGTGTGCATCACTCACACAATGCTGCTGCAACTTAAATAGATATAGATACTGTGTGTGTTTGAGGGTAAAACTAAGAATGAGACAGCCAAATACATAGATTTTCATTAAAAGGTTTATAAATAAGATTTAAAAAGACGCCAGTGCCTGTTGTGGAGCAGAACAGCCTGCTGGACTTGTTACTTATTTATTCAATGAATGATTATTAAACAGCAATTTGTTACCCAAAGTGAGCAAATGATGCAACCTAATTCAGTAAACTGCCAAAACATTTCACCAGCTTGAGATCTGTGTCTCACTTTTTCACATTATTTGTCGGGTTTGATGGCTTAATGAGGAATACTAAAACTGGAGAGTGAATCTTGCTGATTCAGCCCTCTGCACCAAGACAGAAAGAGAGAGGAGAGGGGTTCAGCTAAGGACAGCAAGATACACTCATAGTGTTTCATACACAGCAATTCAAGAATACTATATTTATATTCATTTCAGCATTAGTCTCTTCATCAATCCACACTTATTGAGAAAAACCTGCTGTTCATATTGTTGTTCTATGCTTTTATTGTTCAAAATGAAGATTCTTTGTTTTGTGCCACACCCTGCTCAGACCTTCTCTCTGCCAAGAACCATTACTAACCTGTACATAAACTTCCTGGAAAATTGGACAATGTTACCAGAAAGATAGTTTTACTGTAATATATTTGTTATTAATGAGAATCACCATTATGAAAAGGGCTGAAGCAGTTGAGGCATATCCTTCACAATGCCGCTCGTAATCGAGCATGTAATGCTGCACACTGCATAGGTCACTGTGGACTGAATGAAATCTGATTCCCCAGCATCAGTCAATAATCAATGCAAAGTGATGTACAAGAGGTTATTGTTGAATTCCAGACATTTTAAATACTACATTCAACCTTATCGTTGCCATTAAAATGTGTGCATTGAGACAGCAGGAAAAAAATCCAGAGGTCATTCAGCATTTTGTAGAGGCTGAGGCCATTGGGTTGTATCTGCCATGCTGACTGGAGAGAACAGAAATGTAGAGGATGTTCGCCCGTCAGCTGTTTTACTATTTATACAGCGGTTCAGGGAAGGCAGGGGCTAAAATATCGATCCAGTGTACACGGATTCACTCAGGCGTGTTACCCAAAGATAGCATTTAAACTCTGAAGAATTGAACATTAACATGAATGATTATGTTCTTTTTTATGTCTTGTATTCTTTGATGGATGAGAAGGAATCTCTAGTGGCTGTTTAAAACTCTTATTGTTATTTTCTTATATTACTTTTTATTTTTAACCCGCAGCACATTTGACATTAACTGATTAAAAATACATCATAATGAAATGTAATCTTTTGTTTATCCGGCATGACAGATGTGTTTGTCTCTGTATCACACCACTCAGGATTTTACTCACAATGGGTGAGTTTATTGAGTCCTGTGTTTTACACACTGATCAAATGAAGTAGATGGTTCAGTCCTGCATGTTTACATATCCAAATGCCAATGCTGTGTTCACTCTTAACATGAGCCACAGGCATTTGTAACGGAGTGCCCACATCTGAAGGAATGGTACACTATTTAAAGAAGGTTTAAAGGGGATTTTTATCTTCCTTTACCTCTTGTCAGAAAATTCGAAAAACACTGAAAACGACGATGATTCAGCACCTTCTTCCTCCCCCTCCACAACTTGTTCAATTTGGATACATTAAACAGCACTGGAGCTTCTCCTAAGGCTCTAGCATACTGACAAAAGTGAGTGGGTGAACCGAGAATTCATTATTTTACATTCAAATTATTTTTCTCCCTAGGAACGGAAACTATCAAAAGTCGAGAGACAGAGGTTCAAAGAGGAGGCAGAGATGTTAAAGGCTCTCCAGCATCCCAACATCGTGCGATTTTATGACTTCTGGGAATCACCGGTTAAAGGGAAAAAATGTATCGTTCTGGTGACAGAGCTGATGACCTCAGGGACACTTAAAACGTAAGTCTATATTAAAACCCTTTTCTATAATTATTGATATTGGTGAAGTCATGGTATGTTTTCCGTCTTAGCTCATGTGTGTCCTTTTCATCCTTATACCCATCAGTAAATCACTGATTGTAAGTTGCACATAGTCTCCTAATATTAGTTCACCTTACAGTTTAATGACAATTGGACGGTCAACATCATGTGTATCAAGTTTTATACATATTGCCTTTATTTTTAGTCAATGTGGTTTGAACCCGAAAAGTATTTACCTGCTGACAACTTGAACATCTCCTTCGTCCCACAGGTATCTGAAGCGCTTTAAGGTGATGAAGCCTAAAGTTCTTAGGAGCTGGTGCAGGCAGATTCTCAAAGGCCTCCACTTCCTCCACACAAGGACCCCTCCAATCATCCACAGAGATCTGAAGTGTGACAACATCTTCATCACTGGTCCTACAGGCTCTGTCAAAATAGGCGATCTGGGCCTAGCGACACTGAAAAGGGCCTCTTTTGCTAAAAGTGTTATCGGTAAGTCCTTGTCTTTATGAGAGATATGTTTTAAACCTGCAGTAACTCTTTATACCCTCTGCTCCAGTTGAGACATTATCACCTTTTAAAATGAAATGGGAAATGATACAGAGCAACATTTGCATTCATTTGTTTTGACTCTGGTTACCTGGAGTATGTAAGACCAACAACTCCCGAGGGAAATATCTGGCCCTTAAGCTTTGATTGAACACGTTTTTTTAAAACAAGATTAACATAAAATCAAAGTTTCAAAGTTGCATCCCAACAATTTCTCTCTTGTCTGTCTTGTGAGTGATTACTAAAAACAGCTGTGTTGGGTTTCAGTCCTTGACACTGACATTGATCCCTCTGAAATAGGATGACACACTTAAAACTGCATTTTACTTTATCATTTATCCGTGTTTTCTTGCATTATTCTCTAGGCACTCCTGAGTTCATGGCCCCAGAGATGTATGAGGAGCACTATGATGAGTCTGTGGACGTCTACGCCTTTGGGATGTGTATGCTGGAGATGGCCACCTCAGAATATCCCTACTCTGAGTGTCAAAATGCTGCTCAGATCTACCGAAAAGTCACCAGTGTAAGATCACATTTAAGACTGTCAAATTCTATTACAACTGCTTTAAGTCAGGATTAGCTGTCCTTAATGAAATAAATAAATATCGACTGTTAAACTTGGAGACATTTACAGGGTTTGCAGCCAATGATTGTTTTCACGATAAATAATCAAATGCTTTTTGATGGATTGAATAACCACACAATCTTTAACTTGTTAAAAATTGATGACACCTGCCCACATTTATTCGTTGTTAAAGTACGTCTTGAAATCTCATAATTAAGAGTTATAAAGTGAGATGTAGAAATGTTTGCTAACATAAGCTGCCAAAAAAAACTCAAAGCAAGGGTGGATTTACATCTTAAGAATTACATTACATTATTTATTATTTTTTCAGTGCATACACACATTTAGTCTGACCTTAACTCGCAAAAGTTAAATATTTTTTTATTTAAAAAATGACTCCATCTTACACTTTGAATCCTTTCTCATTTAATTTCAACACTCATTTAATCTTTTCAGTGCCAAAGAAAACCTATTGTACCGCAGTAGATTTTTAATCCCCAGAGTCAAGGTTCTAGGGAAAAATGGGTTTTGAATGTATGTTTTATTACCCTGCAGACAGCACGTTCTGTACTTCCTGGTATCTAGTCACACACTAAGGACTGCTATTTGTAATTTCTTGAGTTGATAAATGCTAGTGCTTGTTTGTATTGCAGGGGGTGAAACCTGCTAGCTACATCAAAGTCAGTGACCCAGAAATCAAGGAAATAATCGGAGAATGTATCTGCCACAGATGGGAAGAAAGGTAAGGGGAGCTGGACCTTTGGCAGTGACGCATATTGTAGATAGATAGAGGCTGACCTTTAACAAAACCCTGTGTTGTTTTGTTTCTGTTCCTGCAGTGTGACGTTAATACCATTATTTGGCTCTGGCCCAGTCAATGTTATTGTGTGTTATGCATCATTGATGTGAGGTCACTATCATCGTGGCCCGTAGCCCAGGGCAGTATCTGATGTTTGTTTGTTTCCTGCAGGTACTCCATCAAGGACCTCCTGAATCATGCCTTTTTTGCAGAGGATACAGGCGTGAGGGTAGAGCTTAATGAAGACGATGATGGCAAGAAAGCATCCATTGCCTTGAAGCTGTGGGTTGAGGATACAAAAAAGCTGAAGGGGAAGTACAAGGAAACTGGTGCCATCGAGTTTTCCTTTGACTTGGATAATGAGGTCCCAGAGGTTGTTGCCCAAGAAATGGTAAACAAAATCTTTGAATTACCAAAAATAATCATTGTATTTTGATAAATATGCACAGAAAATAGTTGTAACGTTTATGCCATTGGGGGTATATAGTTGTACTAAACCAGAACAATCAGGAGATCTAAACAAAGGATTTATCCCTTTTATCTTAAGACTTGTTTGGATGTATATTGACCTTTGCTTTTTCACCGGCCCTGACTCACTTTTCTGTCCCACAAACTTCATTTGTCGACTCTTTGAAAATACCAATTTTTGATTGGCTGGCTTGTGTCTGTTAAAATTCATTGACACTTCAAAAATAGCTTAAATTCAGTGCGTAAGGAAGATTAAGCTGCAGGTAACCATAGCAACAATACTTCTTTGTTCTTCTAGGCACGGTGACACACAATGAGGGAGTGGAGGTAATTCAAAGGGATGCCTTTATATATCAGGACAACTTGTTGTGGATTATTAACTATGTAGTATAAATGCACTACAAAGGGTTCTGTATACAGAAGTGTCTTGTTATAATACAGTCTTTACTTTCTAACACAATCCTGGGCCCTTTTAGTTAGGTAATGTATCTGGTTTAGTGGTCATGTCAGTAATCATACGCTTGATGTAATTATTGATTAAAACTAAAGGTAACTGATCGGTTGATCTTTGCTCTCCCATGTAATGAATGTCAATTTGTTTATTGATTACATATACTGTGGAATTACAACCTTAGTTTGTTCTGAGCTGCAGTGATCATCTAGCATGTGTCCTGTAGGTGGAATCAGGTTTTTTTCTGGACTGTGATGTAAAGATAGTTGGGAAGTCCATCCGGGACCGCGTGGCTTTCATTAAATGGAAAAGGGAGCGGATTGTCTCTCCAGCTGTGAAGAAGCCGCAGCCGAACCTCCTGAAGGTGCTCGGACCCGCCGTGCCACAGGCAGCCACATTAGCTACAACAGATGGTGAGGAACAGGAGGTGGAACAGCAGACTCTGGTCTGCACCGTGCCAGCCACCACGTCTACCACATGTGAGAACCTGCAATCAGTAAAACACATGAACACAAACATCATACAAACTCATGAATCCATTAACAGGACAGGACACACTGCTATGAATCGTTACATTTGTATATTTGAAAGTAAATGAGACTGCAGCATCCGAGTAAGACCGATTAGTCATCATAAGACATCATCACCCAGCTTTTGAATTTTAATGAGATGCTTCCCCTGTCCTTTCTCTGTGTCCGTCCTTCCTGCAGAGGACGTTGTTGAGAAATGTAATGTTTTATTCACTCTGTTATTACAGCTGACAGCGGAGTGGGCCCTGCCATGCAATTAGATGATCTAAATAATCAGCAGAGTATCTTCAACCAATCGCTTCCAGAGCCTATCTCCACAGCTCAGATGATCTACAGTCCTCCTGCTCTGGTTGAGCCTCAACACCAGGGGCCATACCAGCAACCCACAGCACAGGCCTCTCAAGAAAGCTACACACAAACATCCTCTCAATTACACCAGGGGGCCTACCAGCAAACCACAGATCAGCTGCATTCTGGGGCCTATCATCAACCTGCATCACAACTGCACCAGGGGCCTTATCAGTCTCAAACCGTGAGTGACAGCATTTCTAATTTCTCTGTGGAAACTTTCGTAACTTTTTTCATTGAAATCTTTGGAATTTTACACTGCAACAATTGCCTTGTATGTTATGACAACAGTGTGTTGGAAGAAGGTCCTACCATGTCAGGCATTAAGGTTAGAAAACCCTCTCTCACTAAGACAATGCATAAAAGCCCCACTCTATGTCCACCACAGGATCTAGCTTAGCCAATAGCATAGAACCCAGCGCATGCCACAGGCTTCGTATTCTCTAACTCAGCCCGTAATCCATCATTATTATCTTCTCAAATGCCCCCACATACACACTCACATCATGACTCAGCAAGTCATTTCAATTCACCTCTGCGTCCCCTGAGTTGACTGCCTCCCTCCTCCCTCCGTCTGAGCGTCACAGCCCCCACCTCCAATGAAAGGCTTGCATCATGTCTCTCCTCATGATGGTTAAGACAAAGGGAGGAGCATCTCTGTGACACAAAAATATACACTTTTTCTCCACATCTGCTAATTTATCTTCAGTCTCTAACCCCGGCTCATCTCCTACATACACTTTTCTTTTTCTTTTTGGCCCTATTCTCAAACAGTCAACCAGACCCAGTGACTGACTTCCCCTTCGCATCTTTCCCCACCCTCAAAATTGTGCTCCCACTGAGTTAATATGAGGGTGGATATCTCTTCTGATCCACTTTTCCATCACATCATCTTCTATCGCATTACTTGTTAAATTACACAAACATGACCATGTCAGACTACAAATAAAAACAGGGCCCAATACATGTAAACCCCACTATATGTTTTCTGACAGACTATTTCGGATCCATCTACACCAGCCACTACTATGCACCAGAGTAGGCAGACAGCACAGAGCTTCCCAGCTGCATACCGCAATCCACAGCCACAGTTTACTGCTCAACCCACCTAGGAGCAGGTACTGCATGCACCAACTGCGACAGGCCCTGGCAACAGCTTAAGTGAGACACAAAAAAGCAGAAGTAGAAGGCAAAACCTTGGAAGTCAACACTTGCCAACAGAGGGAATTGTCCCAAATGCTTGTTTGATATTTAGAAATACTGATTCTGTCATCGGTATTCAGTATCACCTGTTATATCTGCATGTGAGGTGGGTACAAACTGCATCTGATACCCGTTTTAAATTCCTCATCACATATTGCACAGTATTTGTTTGTGTGTGTATATGTCAATGGTTTTACATTTGTTTTTTGTTTCCTTCCCATTTGCCTTTACTCCATTTAGTGCAAACTTCAACAAGCTGCTGTCCTGCCCCAGGTATGGAAAACGTTTATTTTAACTTAACTGTGGGCTACAGCACACTACAAACACCACAGAATAGTTGGATCAAATTAAGTCTGCCTGCCACGCAGCTCCCTTTTTTAAAGTGGAGCTTAGACTTCAATTTCTTAAGTTTAATGCAGAAATCACTTTGTATTTCCATCACACAGTTTATACTCTCCATTGTTTTCTTAGTTGTTATCTGCTGAGCAGCCCACACCTCACCTGAGTCCTGCTGACATACCTACCAGTTTTCCACAGTCAGTGTCCAGTACTCCTCCCCCACTCCTGCCCCATGAGATCAGCACACAGGTGCGTTGTAGAAGCATTAGCGCACAGTCACACATAAAGACCAGTGACCATCCCCTGCCATGGCGATATTTGCGTGAAAGTTCACCAAACTTCAAATTCCCACGATGCAAATTTGCTTCGCTACAGGAAGCAATATTTTCATACCCTTGCTTGCATAGAATAAAAGCAAATGGGTGGCAAATGTAAATGATGTGTGACTTTGCTTAGAAACATCAAATTATGCTAGATAACTTGTTAGAAACATCTTACAAATGTTAGTAGGTCATACATAAAGGGCCAATCTGAATGTTATTTCTATCGACTGGTTGCCTTTGTTCATTTTTGATCATTTTCCATTCTTTCCCAGTTTTCCTCACCATATCCTGTTCAAATAGGGTGCCTCAAGCCCTCATCCTTCCCCCTTACTCCTCTGCCATGTGCCTACAGCAGCAGTGGCCATCTTATGTCTAGCTCCCACTACTCACCCTTACTCCACCAACCCTCCCTTACTCTGACCTCTCACTCTGCCCTGTCCTCTCTCGGGTCCCCTCAGACCCCTCTGTCCACACCTCAGCACATGCCTAACTTTGCACTCCCTATTCCACTTTTAGCTATGTACATGTCCTCCGCAATGCCTCAGCAGCAGGGCGGCCCTCTGACATCTCAGACAAACTTTAGCTTCCATACCACCCATTCATTACCTCTCTCCCAGGTACAACCTATCCCATACCCTGCCCCCTACCCTGAGCAGGAATTGGCTCAGCCGCCTGTTCAGGTGAATATTTAGCTTAGTTCTCACTGTTGTGGTTGGGCCATTGGAAATCTCTAATACTAAGGTAGCAATGTGTCTTGTGGATATAATGCATGCAGGGCTTGTGTTTAGGGATTTAGAGGTAAAAATGAACCAGTTGTAATTGATTGATGAACAATTCCCTAAATGTGTTATTGTTTCCTGGTACAGATGATTCCACCACAAGGTAGTGTTGCCCTGATCCACCCTGGGTTGCCTGCTGTACAGACTCCTCTCTGGGAAAGTGGAGTAGATGCAGAAATGTCTACAGCTGTCCAAGACTTAACAAGTGCTCCTACAGTTTCAACTGCAGCCTCAATCTTAGGTCCAGCTCTAGTTGAAACGCAGTCCCAAACACAAACACCAGCTCTGGTCGCAGCACAAACCCAACAGCTTTCAGCATCAGATCGAGCTGAAGTCATGCCTCAAACTTTGGATCCAACCTTTGTTAATGACCCACTGTCAGTCCCAATACAAGTTCCGACGGCAGTGCAAACGATAGCCCCAGTTCAAGCACCAATTGCTGCGTCAGATCTCCCTTTTGAATCACCAAAAAACTTATCGAAAAGCTTAGCCCCAGCCCCTGTTGCAGCTTCTGTCCCAGCTGCAGTTCTGCAGCCTGCTGGCATCCAGACAGCAGGCTCAGTGTCTGAGAGTGCCAGCGTGGCCACAACTCAGCAAAACTTTGAGTCCACCTCTGCATCCGGCACCCTTCAACAAGAGTCCTGTCTAGAGGTGTGTATGTTTTTTGCGTGTAATATTGATCAATACACATATGCATATATTTACTAAATATTTTATATATTCTTGCAAGAATCCCTTCTGTAAATAATGAAACTTCTACCAAGGTCTCCTAACTGTTTTTTTTACATGCACAATTCTCTGTTTTCAGGATGCGCTTCAAGACAAACCCATAGGTTTACCAAATTATGCCTATGACAGGTGTGTGTGTCAAGATTTTTACAGTTTTTCGGCTATTAACAGATTCTATAGAACTTTGTGTGGTGAAAATGCTGACACCGACATAGAGGTAATAAAGTGTTAAACTTTTTATTTTATAGTTTTAACTCTGATGTGGCATCTGGTAAGGAAACAAGTGATGGCTATGACAGCTTGGCTAGTGGAGGGAAGGTGGACGGGAAACCCAGGAAGCATCACCGCAAGTCTGCCCGCACACGCTCCCGGCAAGAGAGGACCAGCAAACCCAAACTGAGCATGCTAAATGTGAGTCATGCTGTCATTTTTGAAGTTATAGTTTTTTACAAATTGTGATGTGTATGATTGTTAAGTGTATTTCCTGCCCACACAGGTTTGCAACACTGGTGATAAAATGGTTGAATGCCAGCTGGAGACACACAACCACAAAATGGTGACCTTTAAATTTGATCTGGATGGAGATGCTCCAGAGGAAATTGCCACTTACATGGTTAGTTGAAGCTTCTACAATTATTTGGTTATATTTATGACACTGTTTAACATATTTTAAATGGTATGCTTACAGGTAGAGAATGGGTTTATCTTACTGATAGAGAAAGAGATCTTCATTGACCAGCTAAAGGACATTGTGGATAAAGCTGAAGACATGCTGAATGAAGACATTGAGGGAGAAAGGGTTTCCGCCCTAAGTTGTAGTCCTGAACAATTCCAGATATTTGAAGGACTGGCAGGAGAGGTAAGAGGGACTATACTCGTCAACTTTTGTAACGCTTGACTTGTGCAATCTAAACAACTAAAAATGTCCTAAACTTTCATATTTTAAGACAGTATAACAGCTTGATCATTACTTTCCTTGGTAATTTAGCTACCTGAATCAGTATGCAAATACTAATTAAGTTGAACTATTAGAATTGACTGCAAATATTATTTGGATTATATGTACCAGTTGTTCATTACTCCCTCAATCAGATATGGTTATAGACATTTAAATACAGAATGGCAAGAATAATATTGATTTAGCTCATTGTCATCTGTCTTTCTCTCTGCAGTATCAGCAGCCTGGAGCACATCAGCCTGTCTACCAGCAGAACGGTAAAACAATAATGCCCTTCATATTGTATCCATCTGCATGTCTTCATTTTGAATGTCACATTCACCTGGAAGAAAATAAGTGGAAATTGTTTGAACAATTCTTCACACAGGAAAGAGATGGTTCATAATTTGCCCCGTTGAGGAGACGCCCACATCCAGCCAGGAGACCCCGTCTGATGGGACTGTTACACAGTCTCCAGGCAGTTCCACCACTACCCAGCCTGCTGACAGTGTCACTGCAAAACCCAGAGGTGACTTTGTTGCTACAGAGCAATTTCAGCCAAAATATACAGCTTCATAGAACAATAGCACTACTTTGTGGCAGCTGAATGAATTGCAGCCTAAAGCTCTTGTGTGCAATAATAGCTTTTAAATAAAATGTTTAAAAAAAAGTTGGTATATATTTACACTAATTGAAAGAATTTTCTCTCATCTTGATTTTTGTGTCCTGCAGAAGAAGGGTCGTCGTCCACAATGTCTGGTGGAAGTGGAGGCTTCACCTATGACGTCTATGGATTCTGTAGCCCTCCGATAATGTCCAACACAGACCCTCTTTTCTTAGCTACCTTGTCTCCCCCTGTTTCTGCTCCCCCGACCCTTCAGTCAGTGACATCCGGGGTGCCTGCTGGCAGCTCGGTGCAGCCCAGTGTTCATCATGCTCAGCCTGCCAAAGCACAAACGTTGCCCCCGTCATCCCCACATACGTCTTTCCCGATTGATGAGTCACGGGGATCCCCTTCGGAATCCGTCTCTCCAATTCATGCTACTCTGCAGATGCCCGACATGTCATATGCTGTTGCTATGGCTGACGAAGTGCCCTGCTGCCCTCTGGTTATGCCCTTATCTCTGGATGTGAGCGGTTTAAAGGTTGTGCCTCCTCTCACTCCACTTCCACTCCAGGAGCCATGTTCAGCCAAAGATCCTCCGTCTGTATCGTATGCCTCGGCCGTACGCAGCGAGCGCCCACAGCAACCTGTGGTGCTTCACCAGCCTTTTTCCAGCGTGGGAGGAACCAAAATGTCCTCGGTACCCCAGAGCCCTGCGCCATCCCAGCACGGCGCAGGGCATGGTGAGTCAGATGGTGAAGGAAGGCTTGGCCGTGGAGGCTTTGTGGACAGCACTATAAAAACACTGGATGAGAAGCTGAGGAACCTGCTCTACCAGGAATATGCTCCCATGTATCCATCAGGCAGTGCTGCAGAGACCCCGGGCTCCTGCACCGAGTACATACAGTCTCCTCCGGGTCCAGATAGTGCCACAGGAGGGTCCGGAAACAGCACGCCGGGGCCGATAGGGGAGGGCCGCTACAGGGTAGGAGAACAGCTAGTAAGTACAATCCACAGTGACTTGTTAAACTGAATGAAAATATACAGTATTTTAGTTGCATGAAAAATAACACTTTCTAATTTTAGAGTAAGATTTCATCTACAGTAAGATCTCATGAGAAATATTTAGTTAGAGATCGACTAAAGATTGTGTCTACATTAACAGGTGTATAATAAAAAAGTAATAAATGGTTTTATCGTAATTAATAATTGCTTGTTTTGTTCATCTCTCACCTTAGCCTCAAATTCCAGAGAGAATGGATAGTTTGAGCACATTGAGTGACTCAGCTGTGTGTGGTATGTACAACACACACTAATCAATCTAACAACCTGCTATCATTAACTATTTGTTGATTTTGGCAGTGCCACAGTGATCATTGTTGTTGAAATGTTTGCAGCTTCCCTGTCAAGAAGACACGTTCCTCACTCCACCTCCTGCTCTGGAACAAGAGGCCGATTTAAAGTATGATTACAAGATTTTACTCATTTAAACACATTTAAACACAGTTGGCAACTTTTATGAGGAATTTGTCATATTACTGAAAATATCACTATATCCTGAGAGAAGTTTCAGCAAATATGACAAAAAAGACATTTAGCCAACTGTAGTTTTAAGGGGCAAGTATAATTGCGTTTTTAGATGAGTTCAATGCATATGCTCTAACAGAAGCATTGCACAATGCCTTGTGTTTAGCTGATTTGCTCTTTTCTTTTTTCAGATCATCTCTGTTCCTCCTGAAGCAGCCAACAGACGAGATGTGAAGCAGAGGAGCTGGAGCAGCGCTGCCTCACCAGCACACCCTGTAGGGTACAGTGAGGACTGCATCCAGGCTGAGGCCTTAGCAGAATCCACCACAATTGGCCGTTTCTCTGTGGTTAGCACAGAAGATGACATGACTCAGAGGATGCGTTGCAGCCGATACTCTGCCCCGCCAGATTTTTACCTGGACACACCTCCATCAATGGCCAAGAGGGAAACTCTGCCTCGGGCCGTGACATCCAACTCTGTTGCTGTGGATGTCACGGTCCATGCTCGTTTCCTGTCCTCAGACTCAGGGGCTGAGAGCAGTCCTGCAAAGATGGCTCCTGCCACCCCGTCACAACATACTCGCTCTGAGCGCAGAGGAAGTGACCTCATGAAGAGGGCAGTGGCATTCCTCCGTCGCTCAGGGCGCAGCAGTAGTGTGCAGAGCTCTGACTCACCAAGCAGGCATGGAGGCATGCACGGCTCGGCCTATGCCAGCAGCGATAATGACTCAGAGATGGAGGACTCAGACATGAAGAGGGAACTACAGAGACTCAGGGAGAAGTGAGTATAGCCATAGTTGCTTTTGGCCTTATTAAATGTCTTTTCATGACACTTTTAGTGACAACTATGCTGTCGCTTCCATCCCCTCAGACATCTGAGGGAGATCTCTGAGCTGCAGGCCAATCAGCGGGGGGAAGTGGAATTGCTGTATTGCCGGCTTGGCAAAGCTCCTCCTCCTGGCCTGGGTCTTTCTCATGATGCACCACCTGCGGGGCGTAGGAAGAAGTCCAACAAGCACAGACTGAAGCCTGGCAAACTTCTCAGCCCTCTGGTCCAACAATTTAGAAATGTGACAACCAAAAGTAGTGACTCAAGCAGAACAGGTGAGTCACTTTTCAGAATGTCAAAGATTGAATATTTACAGCACTGGCACAATGAGTATGCCATTCTGATGCCTGTGTGTGTGTATTCAGTTGTTGCTACAGGTACAAGTGAACCCACAGTGAGCCTAAATGGCTCTCCAGCCAAAGGGTCTTTCCCCACTCAAGGAAGGGCTCGGTCATGCACCAGTCACCTTCCCAGCTCAACGCCAGAGCCTGTGCAGACTCAGCAGCCCTGTTCCCTCAAGGGCTCTTTGTCTTCTGATAATATTTACGGTGGTCTACAAGGAGACGGCACTGGCACACAAGCTCCACAGGGACAAGGTGAGCACACAACCAAAGATCTTAGCCTGACAGTCTTTACACAAATACAAGGCTGTAAACATGTTTATTCAACAGAGAATTAGTAACAAATACATGACTGTGGATTTTTACAATAAGGTTGGGTATTTCAGTATGTGCTCTTCTTACCCTGTTATCTTCTCCCCTCTTTGATTATACTCCTCTACAGGCTGGTCTAATAACCCCCAAACTTCAGAGAGAGTGACCTATAAATCGAGTAGCAAGCCACGAGCTAGATTTCTCAGTGGGCCTGTGTCTTTGTCTATCTGTTTGTACCTCTTCTCTTCCCGCATAGCTTCATTTTTCTGTTTATCGTCATCATCCTGTATTTCTCTACTTTCAGCTTACTGATATATTTTTCTCTGTCTTTGCCAAATATTATGCAACACTGCCAGGTTTTTAACGCTTTGCCTCATCCTTACCACTTTCTTTTATCTTTTATTTTTGATAGCGCAAAATATATGGCTTTTTCAAACCCATGAAAGTAAAAAAGTAAAGTAGAGATTTTGATTGACTCTAATATCTATATTATTATTATATATGTATTTATACTCACGGTTCCTGTTTAATGAACTATTACCCTTTTCAGAATGTTGAGGTTTGGAAAATGAAGTTTAATTTTTATAAATAATTGGCATTATTTCACATTTCAAGTGTCTCATACTGATGCTATTTGAACAATTCAACTTAACCACCATCCATTACTAATCAATAGACTTCTGCATGCCCCCCAATCAGCCATAACATTTTTAATTTCTCATTGCTTCTTAACCTCTCTTTTTTATCTTTGTATCTCTCTAAAACTGATAATGCACATTGATATGGATAATTCACTTGCATGATTTTGCTTATAAATGGACTCACTTATTTTAAGGGGCTGATTGCTTTGAATGTTACTTTGGTTTTACTTTGGTTCTTTGTTTTGTGGCAGTATTCAGCATCTTTGTTTTGCACTGCATCTTGTTATTTAACATTATTACGAGCTAATGGAAATGTACATTTGTATAAAGTATTTTTGTGTTACAGGGACAACACTGAAGCGTCTGTGTCTCGGCAAAGAGCGTGGCAGCAGTACGTAAAATGACTGTGTCTGGCTAAAATGAGTTCAAAGGCGGGTTGATTTCAATTGGTTAAATTAACTCAACAACATGATTTCATGGTATGGGTGTATTTGTGTCTCTTCAGGATCTGGAGCTGGGCCAGGGGCTTTCAATCCATCCCAGCAGCCGCCTGCCGGTGCCACGCCTCCTTCTCATCAGCCGGTGACAGGACTGGCCCAAGCTCAGGCAAATAACAGCAACAACAAGACAGCCACATACACTGGCTTATCCATGAGTGCCAATGAAAACAACCTGTCTGAAGACTTGCAGCGGCTGATGGAGGACTGGGCCCAGGAGGTGCTTATCGTCACCCACAGGCCTGGCACCAACTCTCTGAGCATCAGTGGGCAGCAGCTCTGGAATCAGGTTATGCACCGAACACATGGACAGCTGACAAGTGCTTCAGACGTGAGTCTCCTGCTAGTTGTGCACCAGTTTGCTCTGCATTCATATAAAACAAAAATGATTAAAACATATTTTTAAAGTTAAGTTGATTATAGAGGTACAGTGGTAGTTGTGCATATACCCACAGCTTTTAGATAATGCAGCCTGAAGTGGAGAACAAAACGAAATGACTAGGCATTTTGATTAGTTTAGGATTATGGGAAATTACAATTATTTTAAACTACTGTATATGTTAAAGGTCCCCTATTATACTGTTTTTCATGAATATATTATAGGTCTCAGATATATACAAAACATGTCTCTGAAGTGTTTGGCTCCAAATACCTTGGTTGGTAATTGGCTAATGGTTACACAAGCCAAAAAATCGTTATGACATCATAAAGTGGCCAAAATCTGATCGGCTCATTTTCAGACAGGTTTTTATATAAATGGATCAGGACAAAAAGTGAGCGAATCTTTTTTCCTGAAACTTTCAGAATCTCTTTACACAGATGTGACACATGTTTATGTATAAAATACATTAAAAAGTGGATTTTGCATAATAGGTGACCTTTAAGACAACACACGATGTAGTACTAGTTTGATTATATTTAGTTCATTACTCCCTGACACTGACAGTAATTAACCATTAGCTTTAGTAAATAGAAAAGTGTAAAGTTTGGTCCTGGAAGTGTTACATATAATGGGCAGCAATAACCCTTTCTAATTGATTGTATTTTATAACATGCAGTTAATCATTATTGTGAAATTCAAAATCGGCCCATTATCTGACCCTGTTAGGTATCATGGACAGCCCCAGGTCCGGAGGCCTGCAGTGCTTCTCTGTCCTGGCCTGATAGCCCGGGGTCAACAATCATTAGCAGCCCCTCCACTGGGCCCCATGGCAGTTGTCAGCTTCGCTCTCCTGCTGCTTTCAGGGCCGTGTCCTCGCCTCTCTCTGTTAGCCAGTGGCCTGGGTTGCTCTTTCCTCTTCCTTCAGGAGCCTTTGCCTTTCCTGCTGTATGCTCATCCCAGGGCGTCCCCAGCCCGACTTCAGCTCCATCATATCAGACGCCGGACCCCAAAGCCAGGACTCTGTAACCTAAGTAGCATTGTGTCTTCCAACTCCGTTACCAAAAATAAATCTCACTATAGTTCTAGTCAATCTTATGTGCATATACTGTATATATATATATTTAACCAGCATGTATCTAATCATATGTACATACTCATATTCATTCTTGAGTTTAAAGTTATTTAGTTATTTCGTATCAACATACCTCATGTCCATATTGCAGTATATAATCCTTCAGTGCAGTGTAATGGCAGTAGTACAGGTAAAGAAGCCTAATAAAACCAATCAGGCTGAAAATAGTACATTTTTGTCATAGCTTATTAATGTACCTTACCACTCATTAAATGTATATAATGAACTGTTCATTAATAGTATGTTTATATAAATAGTTCATGTTTTTTTGCTCATATCACCTCTATGGTTGTGTGTATATATGAATCATTGTGAGTCTGTACATAGCCTCTGTGTTTGTACGGATAACATCAGATAATCCATTGCTCGGTGCTGCAGATATGTGTCTTAATGCAACACCTCATTAGCCACCATCATGCCGTCACTGTGAAGACTTGACATCCTGGTCACTAGGACCGGTTGCTTTACTCTGCCCTCAGTCCAAGGGTAGGTTTCATCCTTCATCGATGAAATGCTTCCAGCACAAGCGCTTGAAATATCTTTAAGAGATTTGAATGAACTTGAATTTTATCTTCAGGTGGAAAAACACCTGTGAGAGTGCCTTGAAATGAGGTTTCAGTTTTATGAAGAGAAGCATTTAGATTCAAAGCAGATACCAGATGTTCTATATATGCTTTAACCTCCAAAGGTAATTGATGTGATTTGAATAATACATGTGGAATTTCACATTTAATTTAGCAACACAACATAAAAAAATACTTTTATCTGGTCATGTTGAGACATCAAATATCACGGATTGTAAAACTAAACCTTGTTCACTGAAGTAATTATTTGTGGGATTTGCTCTACAACCTTCCACCTCCTGCATGAATACACTGATATTCTGAATGTGTACAGGTTGATTTGGTTTGCTTCAAGAGGATGTTATAAAGAGAAACTAGCATTGAAACAATACAACAAGGAGGGCTGAAGGACTCAACCTTGAGTCAAAGTCATCGTCATGCCATACCTCTAATGCCGTCTGTAGCTTTACATATGGTTGCCTTTGTAGTTTTACAGAGATTATTTTGTGATTGGTTGTTGTCTGATACATATTGATGATATGATGATGTGAGAGGCTCATGAAAAATATGAATAGATGAGAAGCCACAACTGTTTGACATTTTATTATGACAATGCATAGGTTTTCTAGATGATGTTTATCCAACGCTAGCCTCACATGATCTAAATGATCACATTTACATGACCACATTTGTGATCTAAATGATCACATGATATAAAGCTAATTATGTATATGGCAGAATCAACTCAAAGATCTCCAACAAATATTACACTGTCATGCTTTACATTTTTTCAATAGTGCAGCCTCAATCATCACTTTCACTTCCAATACTTAAAGCTCTTGTAAAACTTTTATTAGGAAAGCTACTGCTGAAGAATACGTTTGCCTAATTCATTAATGTCTCGACGTGTTATGGCAATACAAAGCAGAGGCAAACATCTATGTAGTCAAAAAGTAAGCATATTAATATTAGACAGAGTATGGGTCAAGCTTGAGAAATACTGAGAACTAAATTTCCCAGAATGCTGTTCAGTAGGACTTTTGACATGATAAGGGTTATTTTGTAATTTTTGGAAAGACATTTCCAGAGCCACATAATACAAAAGTAGAAGCAGTGCTCTTTAGGATGAATAAGCTGCCCGACTGCAGTGCCGCTTTAAAAAACCTTCCATGTTTGCACAGTGTGATGATATCCTGTATTTGATCTCTTTAATGCTTTCAAAGCAAGCTAGGTGTATGGTTCCTTTCGCCCACTGTATCACCTGTTTTCCAAAATTGGTACTATTTCACAAAAGCTGTATATACTTATATAATAAATTAATATTTGCTTGACATCATACAATATTAGTCTTGTACTTGTTTTATTTTCAGTGAATGGTGAACATACGAACCTAAATTGTCTAATGTTGTCTGAGTTTGCATTGAAAGCTGTGGGCAGCAGTGAATCTTATTTTTGTGTCCCATTCCCGGCAGGAATGGAATGTAGGAGTGTGTTTGTTTGTTTGTGTTTGTGTGTGCGTGTGTGTGTGTGTGTGTGTGTGTGTATTCTGTCCTGTAATTTTCTCTCTTTATGTCCTGTTGTTCTTTGAAACTGACACTATGATTGGCTTATGGCTGTTGTGTTTGGGCCTGATTGGCTGAATGTTTACACCTCTGAGGGAGTTTAATTGCTTATTAACTGAGGGGGGAATGGGAGTTGATTGATTGGACATCTAATTACAAGACTGTGTTTGAGTCTATGTGCATGTGTGTGGTGGAAGGTGGGCTGTTTCACATTACTAAACCCATTTGTTAAAGTTTCCGTTCTTTCCTCTCCTGCAACAGAAAAAGAATGAAATATTCCACTAAGAAGAACAATGACGAGCAATGCCGCCATAAGTATTGATGTGAGTTAAAGCAGGCCTAAAACAGCAGTGTGACATTTGGTGGAGGAGCCCTGACCTTCTCCTCAGTAGGCTGTGGTTGGTCTGATGCAGAACCCTCAGCTGTAAAGCTGTAGCTCTGTGGGCTGACATAGACACTAACCTGACCACACTGTCACCACACCCTGAAACACTAGCGCTCCAATCTGCACAGGGTAAAGCACTGCCAATGGGTTCCTGGTGGAAGATTAACACGCATATCAGTTTGTATTTGATGTATTGACATCAACAATATACATGAGTTTATTGCCTTCAAGAACTGAAACAATTCACGGAAGAAAAATAAGCAGCATGATCCCTTTCTGATCTGCTATGGTTAAGGCTTGGTTATATGTAGACACTTGGTTTATGACTTTGTTTAGTGCCCTATTATGATTTGTTATGTTACTATTAGTTTTTGTACCAATGTTTTAAAGTTCGAAAAGGGTTTTATTCTCTCATACTGTGCTGCAGCACCTCTTTTCACCCTCTGTCTGAAACCAGAGCCCAGTATGCTCTGATTGGTTGCTGGCTCTGTTGTGATTGGCCAACCGATTAGAGATGTCCCTCCTCTAAGCATATAGCTCACAATGTGTTTGAGCATTAGCCAATAGAATTGCAAGTGTGACATATTGATGTCGGCGAAGTAAATCAACGATTCCAATGGAGGCGTTTCGGGCAGGGGGGGGGAGTGTGTGGGAGAGAAACTCCCTCTGGAGGGAACTTTGGGATTTTAGCCTTTGCAAACCATTGAAAAGGGAAAAAAGATAGAGAAAGATTGTTTTGGGTTACAATGATCCCACAATGAGTGTTAGTACAGAGATACTTTTTAAGTATCCTGATGCATCTTTTGCCATCATCTTAGCAAGATGAAAAAAAAAGATAAAATAACATACTGTTCACTTTTAATAGTCCAGAACCAACGTCCACACTATGCAGTTCTCAGAGTTGTTATTAAGCTAGCTGGATACTTTTTACCTCTAAATCTGGTGTATTTTTGACACAGAATGTACATTTAACGGCTTAACTTTAAAAAAACAACTGAACATTTAGAGAATATCCCCCCTCTCCAGGAGTCTGTTAAGAAATGTATGCATTTTTTAATTAAATATGCATTATTGTGCACCCAATGAATAAGGAAGATAAGTCAAGATATGTAGATATGTAAAGCCACACTGTAAGAAACGTACCGTGAAATTCACAGTATTTAACTGGCAGCAATTGACAAGTTACTTACTAGTGTGTGTTGTTCAGTTTAAGAAGAATCCCTGAGATAGCGACGATATGTACTTTTGTGTTGACGTATGTGTAGTTAAGAAGTGTTATACAGTTTAAGTCTGAGAGTATAAATATAGATTTTCCTCGCGGTGTTATTTGAAATGCTCTTGTATGGTCTAGGAACAACTGGAAAACTTCTAGTCAAATTGGTATATTCAGTAAGTTTCAAAATTGAATAACCCTCATCTACGAAATGACTTTGTAAGTCTAGTTAGGAAGCTGCTCACACGCGTATCGGACATATGTAGAGCCTACGATCGAGAGTAAATGTACAAGATAAACCCAAACAATTGTACGGTGTTGTTGTCTTTACTTATTTTTACCTGGTGTGGGGAGACACCAGTAAATTGTACCATTGCGACAATGGCGTTTGTTGTGTGTGTACAGTTGGAGGTAAAAGTCTTGATAATTAACTACCCGTTGCAGTAGAAACTTTACTCGATCGTATATAATACGATTCAAACCTGTTTTATATAACTATTCTCTCGTATTTGATTAATATGTTTATGTACAGTACTACATTCAATATACGAATTTCTATGGGTTGTCTAAGTGGTGTAACATCGGTACGGAGTATTGGATCGAGTATTGTGGAGAATTAAGCGTCTGTGGACAATCCCAGGAAGAGGTCCAACTATTTCCTAATACGCAGGGAGTGTGCGTTTAGACGCAGCAAAGGTACGCGAAATCGAGGAGGGTGGTCCCTCGTACCTCTTCTGCGTTCCTTTGGTGCTCTGTCGTCCCTTACTCAAAAATTCTCTTTACCTGCAGGAGAGGAGGCCTCCAGTGCACTTCGTGCAGGCAAACACTACTGCGACGTGTCGACTAGCACGACCTGTCGGTCGGCGAGACAGCGGGCAAGTAAAAAAGTGTTTGTGGGTGCGGAGACAATCCTGGTAAATGGACCTTTGTTTGTAAGAGCATAAGTACGACGACATCTGGGTTTATTTAATTTATTTTATTTTTGAGTAAGAGTTTTTTCTATTTCGGTAAGAATTTAACATATTTGGCTTTTTCGCTAGTACCTTTTACCAAAGGTTATTTACTATTTATTAAAAACTGGGTGAAACACAAGTCTATTATAGTGTATAAACATTGATTTACTATCTACTTAACTTTGTTTTGGTGTCATATCTGACTCTCACTGAGAGCACTCAACAGTACATAAGAAGAAGGAGGTTACCTGTTTGACGAGATCCAGGTTCATCGTTAGTCTAGTCACCGTACGGGACGTAGCAGTTAGTCACTCGCTATGTGTACATTCCCCTGCCTCGCTCATAGACACCTAAAGTATGCCTCCTACCCAGACCACTAGGAGCCAATTAGTCAGGATGGTAATATGCGAGAGGCCGTCTTTATTCGCGGTACCCTGCCATGAGTTCTACCGCGTCTGTTAGTGAGGCCACTATTGTCTCCTCGCGCCTTTAATTTATTAGCTGACTCTTCCTGCAATGTCTCTTTTCGCCTAAAACCCAAGAATGACTTTTTTTTTTCTCCTCCGCCTCGATTACGGTCAGTCTTAAGATGGTCCTCTATTTCAAATTTAGACACACTATTTTGGCGGTAGGACGAGATTTGTGTAGTTCTTATAAAGACTTTGTCATACCTCGAGTTTACGAAAAAAGCAGAACGCCCAAAAATGATGTGCCACTCAAGGAAAAAAATAAAGGACGAAAATTTGTGTACACGAGATCATGTCCAATCGGACTCACAAATCGCTCCGAACGGTTACATTCGTTTCTGCTCTAATAATGAGTTTTGTGCAGTCCGTAAACAAGAATATGTTGAAAATTACACCCAGGGCCGACTGTCTAAACTGCAGTCCAGCGTCGTTTAGACATAGGCGAGTCAACATGTGGGCAAAAATTTTCTAAACCCATGCCTCCTTTTCTCTCTCCCAAAATAAAAGACTGCGACGCACTCAAGGGGCTGCGTGGCCCATGTGTAATATCTTAACCCTCCCTACTTTGGGAGGAAATTACCAGTGGTACGTCTCGTGTGTCGTGTGTGTCACTTACACAGGGACGTAAGTGGGTAGGAATCATTCTTCAGATCATGGATCCTCGTACCCGTGATAACATGTGCGCGGGCCCTCGTTACCTCACTCCCCCCTTCCCCTACAGGGCCACCGGGAACGAGTTTCCCTGGTGCCGTCCTCCACTTGACCCTGGAGAGTTTCATCTTCAGGTGTGAGGTATAAATTTTTTTTATGCAGACGCGCCCCTGCAACTTGGCCGTGGGGCCGAGTGCCAGCATCGCATGCTACATATTTTTCTGTCCAGTGTTTCACGTAAAACGTACTATCCAGGGGAAATTTAGGGTATATGACGAGGAGAGGACCTCGAAAGTCGGTAAGTCGGAAGTGAGGGTTACCACAAACGAGTTAAATGGATTTTATCAAATCTAATAGTGTACTGTCCCAACTACTGTCAACGTGACATTTTTTACCGACACTTTAGGTGTCAATAAAATGTCACAAACACGTGTCATTTAATGACATATGTAAAAATCTCATTTTATGACACAAGCTCTGGTTTTTAATGTCGTTGAGACCTCATGACATCTTTATCGTCAACATTGTGTAGGGTTGACATATTAGTGTCGCGCGAGTGGGTTGTTGCGGGGGAATATTCTAGGTCATTGGTTGTTACATGACATCTATTAGTGTCATTGGTTGTTACAATGACATCTACTAGTGTCATTGTTGTTACATAATCTTCTAGTGTCATGGTTGTTACATGACATCTTCTAGTGTCCTTTGTGTTACATGACACTTGTAGTGCTCTCGTTGTACAGTGACATCTACTAGTGTCATTGGTTGTTCCATGACATCTTTACGTGTCATTGGTGTTACATGACATCTTCTAGTGTCATTGGTTGTTACATGGACATCCATAAGTGTCATTGGTCGTTACATACATCTTCTAGTGTCATTTGGTTGTTACATCGACATCTATTAAGTGTCATTGGTTGTTGTCTCGAGAGTTCAGACGTGGGTAAACCGCACTCTGTGTGCGTAAAGTGAGGTAAGTGTGCGAGTGCTGCGGTGTTAACATAAAGATTGCGTTCTAAAGAAAGGTCCCATGGCCGGGGCGTTCAACGCGGCGATAAAACTTGTGTAATCCGCACGTGAGGTGATCGTGGGGTTAACTGTAAGCGCTAT